CCAATTTTTTATTAATTAAAATTTGTCCCCGACCCTATTCCGATCGATTGACTAAGGCACTTGAGAACACCCTTAGTGATAGGCAAATTGGGATTTTCAAATTTTACGCGCATGAAATCTTATGTATGCTTGAATTATCAAAAAATTTTGCTCATAATCATGCGCATTTGCAAATCGCTAGTGGGGCATATGTTGATATGATTAATTATTTAGAATTTAGATTAATACAATTTCCTTTAAATACATAGGTTTGGGCGAAAGTGTTGAAGATGTCGGTACAATACGGGAAAATCATTCAATTCCCCCGCAATGCGAGTTATTTTATTTTGAAGTCGACATAATAGATGAAGGGAAAAACAATTGTGTTGAATGTATTTTGCAATAAATTAAAATAAGTTCGTTTAAATTTTGCGTATAATTTTTTTTTGGCATCCTTCTATTCAAAAGAATTATTGGAATTGGGTTTTGCGAAAAGGAGGTTAATTTAAACGGAATGCCTGGTGATTAAACTTTATTTATCTTTTGGCATATTGAACAAATGGGGGGGTGTCAGTAGAAACCAGGCAAATTGTTTTTAGTAAGTTTTTTTTAAACTTTAAATTAAAATATCTCAACAACTATTAAACCAAACTTAATAAATTTTTTTATTTTAATTCTATAACTAAATAGCATTAAAATAAAAATTTTTTATCAAGCTAGGTTTAATAGTTGTTGAGATATTTTAACTTAAAGTCTAAAAAAAATTTACTTAGAAACAATTTTCCTGGTTTCTACTGACACCCCAAATATTTATTAAGTTTTTTTCACATGATGGGATGATGGTTCCTGGGGTTATCACGATTATTTTGCTCGGGAAGTTGGACCATCGTTTTCTACTGGCGATACCATTGGATGTTGGTTATATTTTAATAATAACAGTATTCTATACTAAAAATGGTATAAACTTAGGTACTTAGTGCAAAGCTTTATAGTTGTGCTGTTTTATATAATGTATATCACGATAGTAAAATTAATGTTCGGCTTCAAATTATTTTTACTACCGCATTATATATATCAAATATTATCCGTACGTACTTAATAAATGGCTGCAAATCCTCAGTTTAGACATTTTAGTTAGTTAGAAATTTTCAGAACATTCCTTAATAAAGAAATTATCGATATTTTTTTATGATTCAAAGATTAGAACTAGTAACAATCTCAATGAACCATACGACATATAGCAGGTTGCGATTACGGTTGCGGTGAAAACAGAATGAACCCCAAATGTCATATGAATCCAAATAACGTACTAATCCCAAATGCCATATGAAATCAAAATATTATATATATTGGATAAAATTATTAAGAAATAATTTAAGATACAAATTGTAGTTTCTTAGATAAATTTCAAGTTACAACCAAACTTTTTTTTTTTAAAAAAAAAATTATTTAACATGTCTTAAAATCAGCATCATAAACTAAAAAAATTCCGAAGAATTATGTGCAAACAACACATTTTTAACTATAGAGCATCTTTGATTTATATCTAAAACACTTATGATATGAAATTCGATGTTAAATTCTTTCATTAAAATTTTAAAACTTTCCGAAAATGAAATCCAATCTTCATAATTTGTAGGTAGCAGTCGGACCCCATCTGCGATTAAACATTCTTTTTGTGGTTCTATTAAAAAAATTATATACTTATTTTTCTGTCTGTAACGTTCAAGGCATTCATTTGTTTCTTCCATATCTAATAATTCCTTCCATCGTTTTCGACAAAATTTCTGTGCATATACTATAGAATCAAATGCACATCGATCTAAAATTGCAAATTCATGTTCAATTTCCTTTTCCTTTACATTTTGAGCCTTAATTATAGATGACTGAAATTCAAATGTTTTATCAGGATCATTTCTAACAAGGTCTGTATTTAAATTAAATTCTTCTATTAAATCTCTCGCTGTCTCACTAATTAGAATTCCATTCATATGACTCTTGACAAATTTTGCCAGCGTAGTTTTACCAACACTCTGAGCTCCTATAAAAACAATCTTTTTTCTTGGAAGTACACTAAGAATTTCTTTAGAGATCGGTTGTTGAACTATATCCCACCTAATTTTTGTGTCGATAATTGGTCTTGTCTCATCCATCCTGGTAAATATGAATTCTTTGAGAAGCTCGGATAATATAGCTTTCATCTCGACCATTGCAATATACTGACCTACACATGATCTTGGTCCATGACCCATTGGTGCAGAAAGAGTAACTAAACTCTCATTTTTTATGAAACGTTGTGGATCAAATTTAAGTGGATTGTCAAACCACTTTTGGTGACGATTCATATTAGCAAGATTAATTACAATGTTAGTTCTTGCTTTAATATGAATTCCTGAAACTTCACAGTCATTCAGAGATTTTCTAATAATAACTGGTTTCACAGGCATCAGTCGCAAAGATTCTTGTAAAACAGCTTCCAAAAATGAATCATCTAAAGAATCTATTAACTGATTTACGATATTTTTATTTTCAGTAAGAAGTAGTATAGTATAATATAAACTAACAGAAGTGGCATCTATGCCTACAAGAACCATTTCAAGAACGCTTTGTAGTATTTCTTCATCTGTCAAGTTATTTTTATAAAGTTGACGTAAGAATGTGGTTGCTTGTGGATCAAGAATCGAAATAATGTTTTTAATTTCTTCTCGAAATTTCAAAATAGATTTTCGGTGATGAAAAAATTGGAAAGGAAATAAAGGCCATATGAAACGTGGCTTTAATAAAAAAAATTTCAAAGCTTTAAGGTAATCAAGAACACTATCAATTAGATATTGTGACTTCTCCGAATCAAGTTGGATACCAAGAGACACTTCAAGAATGATTGCAAGAGTAATATGATAAATTGAATTTAAAATATCAACAGTTGATGCATTGTTTTTTATCATAGAAATTTTGATACGATTAATTTCTTGCTGAGTTTTCTCTATTGCAATAATAAAAGTACTATGGTGAGCATTGAATGCTAGACCATCTTGAAATATACGTTTTTGAAGGGTCCATTTTGAAATGTCGTTATTCCAAATAATCGCATTTTGATACATTCCAATTTCTTTTAATCCATTATCATTACCCATACGCATAATAAAATTTTTTGAATTAATACCACAAAGGATTTGTTGTGTAAATTCGGCATCGCAAGTAATAATTGTATATCCTCCATTCATCCATACTCCAACCGTGTCTCCAAAGAGCCTACACCAAAATTCGGTGAATTCTGGGACTGTAAAAAAAAAATGAAGCTGAATAAACATTATCAAATGCGTCAAAATATTTAGAGGTGGACCACGAATAGGTTGATATCCAGTTGACTTAGGAGCACACACATTGTAAAGAGATACAGAAAGAATTGTAAAAAATATTGCAATCCATACACTTGTTGGAAAAAACATTAGACGTTAATTATATAAAAGGATGTTATTATTCAAGTACTAGAAACGGAGTGATTTTAAATTTCACAAAGTATATGGCTTTATACTGCAGATTAAATATTGTTGTCCGCAAACATGCAGGTCTTAAATTGGAATAATTCGGTAACATTCCGAGTTAAATTTTTACTTAATGAATGCAGCTTACGTAAGTTGTGATATATGCTAGACAGAAGTTTGTCTGACTGGTGTTACAAAATTTTGTATATAATTTTTCTTTGTGTAACGTCCTGTATTAGCTAGCGTATTTTTCTAATGATTTTATTATTATATTAGACCACAAATAGTGGCCTGAGACCATATATCTTGGTCCAAGACTGATTGATAATGGTTTGGACTCAAGATTTTGGTCTCGGACCATTAGAATTTGAAAATATAAATACAACGACTAAACTAATAAAGAACAATATTCCGATATAAACATCATAATTGCGTAGTTCATACGTACCTAATCACTAACCTTAAAAAACTGTTATACCTAAACTTAGAATAGTGCTAACCCGTACCCAAGTATAATGTCAAAAAATTTTCAGGTTAATGATTTTCTATATGTTTTGTGAAAAAAAGATAGTTTTCATCTATAAGTCAACATTTATATCTTAAAATTTAATTGGTATTCTTTTATAACAAAAAAAATTTGTTATTTCATATTTTTATACTATCTATGTTTTTTTCCTTTTACGGCAAAAATTTTTG